CATTGCATTTGCGCCAAAATCAGTCTTATTCTTATTAACTTTAGTAATTTATTTCTAGTTTTTTATTTTATTTTTTGGTCTAATATTTTTTATCATTTTACTGATATATTGCATTTCATGGTCATTACTACTATGCGTTATTGCATTATTGGTCATAATCATTGCACAACAAACTTTCTTAATGCGTTCTTTCACTGCCATATATAAATACCTATTGTCATACTCACTGCCCATGTTCATCAATATCTATTTCCGTGTTCACTATCCAATCTCAATGCTCATATTCATTGCACCTTTTCACTGCTCATGTCAATGGACCTTAATCTCAAAAAATAAAATGTAAAAGGAAGTATTCGTGCGTGTAATTTCAAACCCAGAGCTACCAATCAAGCAAATCTCAGGCTCCAGATCGGCGCTCCCAGCCTGGCTTTTGTGGAAGGAATGAAGAGAATCTCATCCATGGGGATCTAGATCGGCTCTCTCAGGCTTGGCGTCTGCGGAAGGAATGGAGTGAATCTCATCCGATCCATGGGGCTCCAGATCGGGCGAGCGACGGCCAGCGACGACACTATGGCACCCAGGTCAGACGGACGGCTTCTCAACTAGCCTACACAGGTTATGGGCTGACGACTTTGCTCTGGCTAAGGCGTGGCTGTGTGGCGAGCGGAGGCGTGGTTGCACGTCGGATGGCAGCGGCACTGTACATCGGACGGCGGCGGCGCTGTAGATCGGATGGTGGCGGCGCTATACATCAGACGGCAGCATTGGTGGAGATCTCTACGCACGGATGTGGCCACAAGATTTAGGGTTAAAAGCTTTTAGGCTTTTAAAATAATAGTCTAAGGGCATATTAGTCATAATAAATAATTTATTTAATTATTTATTAATATAATAACTATTTGTTATGAATTTTAATTATATTTTAAGAAAAAAAACTCATTAGGTCATAGGTTGGGAAAATGATGAAATTTTAGTTATATCGAGGGTTATTATCTCTTATAAATATAATTAAAAGTATTTTTTTGAAAATCAAATAATCATTTTATTGATAATCAGATCTTAACAAGAAACATAACAACTAAAAGGCGAAGCAATACAATCATAGCATTCAATACTACACTAGGGTGAGACAAAGAACAAAAACGCCATATAAAAGCACTCATGTTCGCTAACCCTGCAATAATGTAGACTCGTACCACAGTGTGTCTGCTCATGCTACTCGAAATGGGTTCGGCTTGACCAGCCACCGAAAAGGAATTATTGAACTTGCCGGTTTTTCCAGCCACCAGTAAGGAGCCAAGTGCAGAAATTGTTCGGGTTTGACCAGCCACCAAAAAGAAAGCAATCCTGTCATCTTCCTGGATCAGTGGTGGTTCAGGAGGGGGGCGATCGGCCTCTATATCGATGCAGAAGAAATCCTGATTCATGATTGATAAAAAAAGCCAATACAAACCTCTTATTAGCACACAAGAACACCCGACCGATGATGGCGGGGAATAAGATCTGGCGAGCGACATTTTGCCACCGAAAATAATATCTCTAGACAACGCTAGGAAATTAAAGTATAGATAGAACTGAAAATACTGATTAAACAAAACTTTTTCCATGACTGAAGTCAAAAGAAGAGAAGAAAAGAAGGAAGAAAGAGTTGGGAAAAGTTAGAGTTGCATTAATAAAAAAACCAAAACTTGGGAACTTTTTCCATGGTGTCCATCTCAGACAGATTTATAATATAGTTACCAGCTTCTTTCGAAAAAGATTTAAAATGAACTTTATATCTAAAAAGTACAACAATTAAGTTATAAGTATTATTTCAGCGAATAAACAAATCTTTTGGAAAAGCACAATAGTTCACACGCCTAGCCCTCAAATATTCACGCCATTTCTTTTTCAGTTGATTATTACCCCAAATCAGTCTGTTCCCCAATCTTTCAAAGGCCGAAGTTTTTCCACGCCCGAGGGTTGGTCTAGCTCGGGTAGGAGATGTGATGTGTGATGTGGTGTCCTGAGGAGATGCGATGAGGGTGCTCAAGACCATGGGGTTTTAGGTGAGGCTGGCAATGATGGTAGAGAGTGCAGCATGGACTTGAAGGTCCACATGGGGAGTAGTCTGTGGCACCTGAGCATGCTCACCCTTTTCATTGTGCCTCTCTTCAAGGCCGATGCGGACGTCAGGAGCAGTGATGTTGATTTGGTTACAGAGGCCAGCCGTGGGGTCAATGTTGCCAAGGAACTCGACCTCCTCGGCCGCCTTCTTGGCCGTGGCATCCCCAAAATTCTCTTGCTGGATCCGGGGGCCGGGGAGAGCCTTGCCCATGGTGATCTTGTCTTTCCCATTTTAGTTAGTAGTGTATAGCAGTGACGAGGGTACTAACGTGATTATTCTAGCTCTCAATGAAAGCAACAAATAATAGACCATAAGCTTAGAGAGAAGTGAGAGCTAGAGAGACAAAATCCTTTGCATTCAATGTTTTTCAACCCCTACAAGGCTACAACCACCCCCAAGGGGGGTATCTATATAGGGGATGTGGGTTGGGCTCTCAGGTCTTGGGCCTGGGAGGCCCGATTACAATAAAGGACCATTAATGGGCCGATTACATAAATTTACTAGGCAATGTACAAAGTAAAAACTGCCTGCTAAAGGTCCTGGCCAAGGTGGCCAGGATGAGTGTATCTGGCCGAGGTGGCCAAGATGAGGGTGTCTGGCCGAGGGTGTCAGGTCGAGATGACCATTCTTGTTCCATTTCTCTGATCTTTGGCTTTTGGTCTTCATTAGTAAGAGTGGGCTCGTCTGGCCGATGGTACCAGCCGAGGTGGTAATCCAGTATCTTGTCATGTTTGTCTTCTATGAGTGTGTGGGCGTGAAGTCCAGGCCCATATACTCTATCACCAATAATGACGTTTTTAGTTCACCATTAACGGCGGCTGCCGATTTTCCTCGGTTTTTGTGCTCAAGTACGACAACTATGAGTAGTTGCGCCTTTTGCAAACAAATTACAGTTTTTGAGAGATGATGTTTAATTTTTAAGATTAGGAAGTTACTTTTTGTTTTTGAATTTATTTGTTGCAGCTCTTCAAAATTACCCGGCCCGGTAAATTAAAACATTCGCCCTTTTTTCTTATGGCCAAACACAAACATTGGACCTTTTGTTTATGGCAGTCTTTGTTAATTGGGCTGGTTGTACGGTGGTCACTGTACAACCTGTGTTGTAGGGAAGAGTATACCGTACAACCGGCTATACGGCTAGCACGTACCGTACAACCGGTGGTAATTTCGTAATTTTGGTAAAAATCGAGCATGTTCTTAAATGAGCATTGATGCAATTTTGTTGAGCATCAAGCTAAGCATGTTCTTTGGAGTATTAAGAGCCTAACAATGACTTTCAAACGGTAAGCGGATGACTTGGGCTTGACCTTTAATCATGTCCTACGAGAGGCTAATTCACCGGCCCATTTTCTTGCTGCTTCGGATACGCGCCCTAATCGGATCAATTTTTATACTTCGGTGGATCATCTTCCTTTCCGGGTTAAGAGTAGCTATTATGCTGATTTATTCAGCATCCCTCACTTTCGGCTTTAGATAGGTTTTAAGAGAAAAGAGGCAAATAAGCCTTAGAACTAACCAAAAAGTGAAAATAAGCCCTTATATAGGAGGCTCTGTCTGGCCGTCGTCATTTGGGAAAGTTCCCGGTGGAAATTTTTGATGAAATATTTTGACCATCTTTTTCAATAAGTCTAGTTTAGCCATACCAAAGTTAAGCTAAAAATTCAACCAGGAAGGTAGTCAAATGATTTTCTAAAATATACTGCGCTTTTTAACTGTGCAGTTATCTTCAAAAATTCATTTGACTGCCTTCTCGATCTAATTTTTAGCTGAAATTTGGTATGGCTAAACTAGACTTAATGAAGAAGATGCTAAAAAAATGTCATCAAAAAATTCCACCAGAATCCTCCTCAAATGGCGATAACTGGACAAAACCTCCTATATAAGGACTTATTTGCACTTTTTTATTAGTTCGAGGGTTTATTTGCCCCTTTTCCCTAGGTTTTAATTGTAATCAATTTGGGTCAGGTTTATGTCCCCCAAATTGAATCTTTTTTTTATTTATCGTTTTTCCCGTGTATTTTGAAAGGGAATGCCCTTCCCGAAGAGGTTTTGGTCTAGTCTCCCTCTTCTTTTGTACTCATTTACTTTTTTAATAAAATTCGGCAAACGTTCCCCGACGTTTGCCCCACTGATTTTGGTGGTTTGACTTCCGGTTTTTTTTTTTTTTAAAAATCCTAACAATGAGTATCATGATCTTTGCTTCGTATCTTTTAATTCATTTTATTTTTAATATTTTTTTCGTTTATAAAAAAATCTTAAATTATGTCTATAATCAATTCTAGTTAGTTTCAATATGTGAATCCAATGTAGTATGATACATTTGAAACGTGCAACATTTTAAAATGAACATACATAACTTACAAAATTTTCAAAAACTTATTTGTGTATGCTCATTAGTTTTGAGCGCTATACAAATTTGAGTTTAATATAAAACTCATTTCTATTTTTCTCAATATTTATTTGTGTATGTTCATTTCTTTTAAAATATACGGAGTACTATTTGAGTTTAATGTAAAAAGACATTTAAGAACAATAGCAGCTTAGAGCATCTCCAATACTACAATGTGCACGGTGCACATGTGGCATGAGAGAGATAGACACAAAAAATGAATTTATGATATTTCTCTCTCATTCTTTACACGATTTTATGTGTTTTTGGTAAGTTTTCCCCGGCAATGTCAAACACAATGTCTACATCTAGACATTGTGCTTGACATTGTGAAGAAAAACTTACCAAAATGATACAAGATCCTTCAAATAAGAAGATCAAATAAGGAGAGAGATATTCTATTTATTATTTTTTAATTGGCTATGATTGATCATGATCATCTTTACCACAATGTTCATCTTTTAATATTGGAGACGCTCTTAGCAGCATCATGAACATTTCTCTTATCTCCACAAATCACAAGCTCAAACAAAACTGCTTAATAAAAAGAGAAAAAAGAAAAGAGCTGAAAGTAAAAGAGAGGCGAAGGGGGAGGTGTGAGCAGACGACCAGCAGTGGTGAGCTGTGGCGAGGAGCAGCGAGCCGGAAAAAGCGATATATTTTGCGGTGTTGTAGGTTATACGGACTGGACAAAACGAGCACATATCACGATTCTTGACTTACAATTCCCACTCTTCCTATCTTTCTAGTTTCTACTCTAAATCGCACGCCTTCTAAGCCATTCCAATGGGTCATCTCAATGCGTATCGTCTTCAAATTCTGATGACATTAGTTGTCACAGCAGTCGCTTTACCCAAGGCTCCTCGCTACAATGTTGGAGATGAAGTTCCTCTCTTCGTTAACAAAGTTGGTCCCCTCAATAATCCCAGGTACTCTTGCGTACCATTGCTTCTATTTTCGGCTTAAATAATCAATCGTCAGTGCGATTAGGTAACTCGCAATTCGTGAGCTTCAATTTTCAAATCTGAGAGAGAATTTGTAATGCCGCTAGATACTAAAAAGCTCTAAGAACATTTTGCATAATTGTAATCTAGTTAGTATGTTTGTGGTGCTAACCGCTGCATTTTAAGACAAGAATTGTGAAATGAGTGTTCTTTCTCGGGTGGTTGACATTTTTGGGAATTTGGAAACATGCACAGTGAGGTGGTTGTATTTTGATCTCATTGCCTTTTGCAGAATCATAAAATATGAATCTGCACTTGAATGCCAATTTGAAATATCTATATAATCTTGGTATGAAAAGAAACATTAGGACAAAAAACAGTGGTGGAGCATTTTTTTGTTGTGTGAGAAACCCAGGAAATCTGAATAAATTAATTAGTATTATACAGAGAAGCAGTGGTTGAATGGGAGCTTTGGTGCACCGGTTAAGGTGTTGCTATGTGATCGAGAGATCACGAGCTCAAGTCTTGAGGGAAGTCTCTTGTCAAAAATGACAAGGGCAGGCTTGCACCTTATACGTCCTTGTGGTGGGACCCGTCCCCAGACCCTTGCCTTGCGGAGATGCCAATGTGCACCGGTCTTCCCTGGTTACAGAGAAGCAGTGGCTGCAAATTTTCTTGTGGTTTAAAAAAAATGAAATATGCCAAGGCACTTACAAAGTTAAACTCATTTCTCCTCGACTTATATGCACACAAAAGTTCTTCCTTTTCTTGATAGTGTTCATTTGTCCAAATCTATTTTAAAGATTAAGTGTGTATAGCACAAGGCGGGTCCACATATACTGATACTCGGAGTACAACATTTGGTATATGATGACATAACCAATCTGAGAAGGTGTCTGTTTTGGCATTGCATCATTGAAGCTTACGGAAATTCATTTAGGAATTTTAAAAACATTGCTTTCTCTAGAGAGGGGGAATCAACTTGTTGGTTGTTGACTAATGATTTGATACATTTGGAACTGCAGAATTTGACAAACTCTTACCGTCGTGTTATCTCTTATTCTCTTGCAGTGAAACATATGAATACTATGACTTGCCTTTCTGCTCCCCAGGTTAGCATTTAAGCCTGGTACCTACCTGCCTACCTGGTTTGCTAAACTATGTAAGTCTATGGATATGACAAAGAATCTTAAAAGCCTCAGCAGTGCTTAATAGCATTAGTTAAGAGTGTGTTTAGAATCTTATCACAAGTGATTCCCTATTTAAGCACTTGAAGTGCTCCTCTTTGAAGAAACAATAATTTGTTGCTTTCTTGAGCATAATTGTTTTTTATGGTTAAAACTTAAAAGCACTCTTTCTATTTTATTGCCAAGACTGCTTCTATTTCAAGTAAAAGTACTTTTGTTCCTCTAGAAAGAACATATTGTCTGAGAATAAGTTATCCCAAATGCTCTCTTAATCCAATTTTCGACGCAATTTTCACTATGGATCATCCAGAAACAGTAATGATGACGAATGATGATGATGATGACGGTCTTTTTTCTACTTTCATCCTGCTAATGGTTTTACTTTTAGATGGTAAACACATAAGCTTGTTGACGTAAGTGCACATGCCTTCTATTGTACACATATATGTATTGAACATCCTGTTTGAACTGACAGACCAGGTGATACATAAGAAGGAATCCATTGGGGAAGTTCTCAATGGATTTGATCGTTTAACCAACACCTTGTATGAGTTAAAGTTCTCTGTGAACAAATCAAATGATGTTCTTTGCCATAAAAAACTCAGCAGGTATGAGGTAGAAAAATTCAGGAGTGCTATTATTAACGAGTTCTACTTCCAAAGTTACTATGATGACCTCCCTTTTTGGGGTTTCATTGGGAAAGTAGAGGACGCAAGTTGGACCTTGGATGCAAAAGGGCCCAACAAGTATTTCCTATTCAGTCATGTTCGGTTTGATGCTCTTTATAATGGCAATCAAATCCTCGAAGTACACGCCTTTAGTGATCCAAATCATGCTATTGACATAACAGAAGACATTGAGTGCGATGTTGAGTTCAGTTATTCAGTGTTCTGGAAGGAATCCCAGAGTAAACATAAGAGCAGAATGGATAGATATTCAAAGGCTTCCATACTTCCTTTGCAGATGAAAGTTCATTGGTTCTCATTCATCAACTCAGTTGCTATCATCTTTCTGCTTACTGGATTTGTCATCATGGTTCTAATGCAACGTCTGAAGAATGACCTCAGGAAGTAATATTATGTTCTGATTCTTCTTGCTTATAATAGTGCCTGCCCAATAGTGCTCTTCACAACTACGACTCCATCTGTTCCTTTTTTTGTTTACATTTTTGAAATCTATGCACATTTTCCCAATTTACCCTTCTTATACTATTCAACATACCCTTTCATCCAAGAGGAATATAAATGTCAGGGTGGATTTAATGAGGACATTTTGGGTAAAGTATTCATAGCTTTGCTTAACTTAATACCGCAATACATTTTCTTAAATTGTGTCATTTGGTCATCAGGAATAGATAACACGGGGAGTACTTGCTAAAGACCAGTATTCATGGCTGTTAATATGCAGGATCTGTCTGCTGTCTGTACCACGGAAGATACCTGGGGGAATGGGAAGGAGAATTAAGTGCATTGTTTTTTCAGGAGAAACGAGCCATTTTTAAAGACAAATGAGTCAAATAAGCCCTCAAGCTGTTACTGATTCTACAACTGAGCCCCCCTTAACTGGATGACCTTACAAGCACACCCCTGAACTCATTGAAAATTAGTAATCGAGCCCTCTATTACCTGATGGTGCCAGTAACATCCCACTAGAAAGTAACGGGTAATTAGTCAGTTACAGCCTTACTGGTTCTAGCGAGTAAACTAGGGCTCAGTTGCTTTTTTCAATGGGTTATGATGTGTATTTGTTAGGACATCCGGGGGGCCAGGTTGTGGAATAGTCAATAGTTTAAGGGCTTATTTGCCCTTTTCTCTATTTCTAGATAACTATCGATACAAATTTTTATACTTATGTCTATTATGTAAGACTATGAAATCTAAATAGATGTTATACATGTGTATTGTATATGAATCATATTTTGTTTTCCTTTGTGTTGTCTTAAGATAAACTGTAAAACCAAACATAAGCAAATAGCTTAGGATTTCTCCCCTTGCCCGAGTATTTTCCATATCCAAAGATACCTTTAATGCTTCCATGCTGGATAAATGTTCAGATTTTCTGGTGGAGATGAAGAGGATGATAAAGAAGTTGGATGGAAATATCTTCATGGCGATGTGTTCAGATCTCCATCAAGCATGCCTCTGTTAGCTGCCATTATAGGTGCTGGTACCCAGTTGTTGACTATGTAAGCTCTATTGTTTTAATGGTTCATATATTTCAGGAGGATATGTATTGCTTGTCTCTTCTTTATTATGGAAATCATTCCTACTTCCAAATTTAACCTTTTAGTATATTGGCTCAATTTTTCCATCATTTGCAATGGAGCCAAAGACTCACTATTTTTTGGCTTGAAAATATGATGGAATAAAGCAAAATGGCTCACTAAACTGTCTGCGCTTCTTTGTTATGAAGCTGTAGTCAGTCCATGCATTCTGGATGCGATTTTCACTATGGGTCGTCCGGAAACAGTCGATCTGTGCTTTAGTACAGGGGTAAGACTGCGTACATCCGTACATCTGCGCTTCTTTGCGGCACTGGTGTAATGATGATGAATGATGAAAGAGTATATTTGTTCAATAATAAACATTCCATAATTTTTTCGAGTTTTTGAATCCTGCTGCAAACCTATCAAATAAAGATATGGAGCAAATGATATTGTGATGCTAATCCTAACATGTGATGTATTAAAAATTTTGCAGGATTTGCTTCTTATTCATATTGTCATTTCTTGGCATCCTTTATCCTTATAACCGTGGAGCTCTCTCTACTACTTTGTTCATCATTTACACGCTTACATCAGCAATTGCTGGCTTCATCTCTGCCTCCTTCTACAGCAAATTTGTTAAAATTGGATGGGTAAATTATCAAAAGTGTCTCGTGACTCCCGTTACTTTTGTGATCCGTTTGGAGTGCAGATAATTTTAGGGAAAGAAAATAAAGGGGAAAATTTTAAGGAAAGTTGATATCCGTTTACTCTTTTTTCTAATTCTTATTATTTTAAGACTACAAAATTTTAATAAATGTAAAACTAATTAAAAACGCAAGTCGAGTTTCATTTTCTTTTGCATTTTCCAAGATAAACCAAATGCAAGAAAATAACTTTGTGTAACACTTTTCATTCTTATCCCTAACATTTTCTGTGATCCGAACACACCCTATGTCCCTATGGTATAATTTCATCAAGACGATTGGATGGTGTTTGCTATCTCCAGGAAAGAAGTGTCACACTTGCTGGAATGCTCTTCCTTGTACCGTTCCTACTTCAAGGAGTCCTTCTAAATCTAGTGGCTATGTCATTCAGGGCCACATCAGCACTTCCTCTTGGAACCATACTGGTCATTCTTCTAATATATGCTCTTATTGCTATCCCGTTGCTTGCTCTAGGTGGTGGGGGTCGGGTATCGATGTAGGTCTGAATTTCAAGCACCTTCTGCACAGAAAAGGACTCCAAGAGATATCACATACCTCAAATGGCATCAAAAGACTCTTGGTCAAATGTTTCTTGCCGGTCTGTTGCCTTTCAGTGCTATTGCCCCCGAGTTGCATTATTTGTACGCTAGCATGTGGGGTCATAAAATATTCACCCTCCCCGGGGTTCTATTTGTGATGTTCATAATCCTCATCTTTCTCACTGTAATCTTAAGTGTTGGTTTGACATATTTTCAGCTGGCTGCTGAAGACCATAAGTGGTGGTGGCGGTATGCACTTGGCATTTTTTTTTAAATTCCTCCCGTTCTATACAAATATCATTTTTCTATTGACGTTTTTTTACCATTTACAGATTTGTCCACAAGAACCCTCTTAAATTGATGGATGCATCTAAGTTTTTTATTTGCATGTGCATATTTTGGTCTTGTTCTCGGAAATGATATGCAAAGGATATAGATTGGAAATTTTGATGGAAAGAAACTGTGGTGCAAAAAAAAAAAGATAGAATAAAACTCCATAAATTGATTTGAGATCATTTTTTTATTTCTGTCTTACATAAAAGGTGCTAAAACTCGGTAAATTCAATTTAGGTATATTCTCTTTATATTATGTTTCCCCTACAGATGTATCCTTTAAACACTCATTGACTGATTAGTAATCTCCTTAGATTATTTATCTTTTCCTATTTAAACATTTGTCTTAAATTATATTCAGGTCTGTGTTTCGAGGGGGGTCAACAGCTGTATTTATGTTCGTCTATAGCATATGGTTTTATTATAAATCAGACATGACTGGCTTCTTGCAGACAAGCTTCTTCTTTGGTTACACTGCTTGCATGTGTTATGGATTTTTCATCACTCTTGCAACAATTGGCTTTTTTGCCTCCTTCATGTTTGTTCGCCATGTCTACCGCACAGTCAAGAGTGAATGAAATCAAAATTTTCTGATGGTAATAGAATCACAGACCTTGTAGTTGAATCATCTAAACATATACTCCGTGTATCCAATGGGGAAAACATACTTCCTTCACTACAAGCTCAAAATAATTGTATCAACTGTATCCAATGTGTATGTTCACTTGTGTTAGTTACCTAGCAAAAGCTGAGAATGAAATTTCATTTTGTAAACTTGATTGAGAATGTTTTCATGTTATAGACATGTGAAATTCCATTCCTAGTAAAAGTAGTGGTGGACTCGGGCCGGGCGGCCCGGCCCGGAACCGGCCCGGCCCGGCCCGGGGCCCGGTGGGTCCACCGGTTCGGTTCGGCCCGGCCCGGCTGCTGGGCGGTTCGGGCTCGGGCCCAGTTTTTGGTGAACCGGCCCGGCCGGTTCGGGCCCGGTTCGGGCCGGTTTTTATTTTTTTATTTTTTTTTAATTTTTTTTAAGTTTTGGGTTGGATTAGGTATTTTGGGCCATTTGAGGTGGTTTGGGGTGGTTTGGGGTTGAGGGGGAGGGGTTGGGGGTTAAATAGAAGAGCCAAAAAAAAAAATTTAAAACCGGTTAGGCCCGGCCCGGTTTGGCCCGGAACCGGAACCGGAACTGCCCACCGGCGGTTCGGGGCTCGGGCCCAACTTTCCTGGCCCGAGGCCCGGCCGGGCCCAGGCCCGAACCGGGCCCGAACCGGCCCGAGTCCACCAATAAGTAAAAGTATGGATATATAAGCACTATTTAATTATTTGTGAAATGTGTGTAGTGTTTTTTTAAATTTTCTAATAATTTTAGCGTTAGATTTAATATAATTTTTTTATCGTCAAAACAGATGGCTTAAATTAATATCACATCATTCAGATAGGGGATAAAATGACAAAAAAAGACTATAGGCAACAGGCAGCCTTCGAACTAGACCTAGAGTCAATCATCTCCAAAAAAAACAATATAACTCGCTAATCCTATAATGGGCATAAATGAGCCAACGACGGTTAAAGTAGACCTCCAAGCATCCAATTCTAATGCAAGAGTCTTACAACAATAAAAGTAACCAACAGAAAAATAAACAGTCTGATCATGAAAAATACTACCTCTTTCCCTTAAAACTTTACCAAAGTTGACCGGCACGGAGAATAATAAAGTAAAAATTGTGTGGTTGAGGTTTGTGCAGAGGAGAGAGAAATAACAGAAACCACAAAATATTGATTAAAAGGGAAAGTGACAAAGTTTTCTGGGACATCCCAAAAAGGAAAGATGACAAAGTTTTAAAGGACGTAGGGAGTTAATAGCAAGCAAACGGTAAAATTAAAATATTGTTTCCAAACCCCAAACTCTCGTGCACTCCATGGCGGCGGTTCAGGAGGGGGACGGTCCAACAGTATTGAAACATCTTCTGCTTCTTGCCTTTGGTCCAGATTTGTTCCAGCCGCTAGTTTCAACGCGTCGTCCATGACCTTCTGATCTCAACCATGAACGACATCCTCGAACCTCTTCACCTGCTGCTAGGGATACACAACCTTTGACCGTCATATAGGTGTTGCGATCTGACGAAGAAGAGAGCCTCACGAAAGCCGCACTTCGTCGAAGACGAAAGCGGAGAAAAACAACCCATAACCCTAGGGGAGACGGCCGCCTAGAGAGAGAAGCTCGTTAGATTTAATATAATTGAATTATTATAAACATGCAATGAACATATTTTTCTTGTCACCATAATTTTGATTACATAATTTCTTTGATCATTTAAAGAAGTTAGTATCAATGTAAATGAAATATGTACTCATTAAAACAAAATGTAACCAAAGAGTTTCTCTAGACAAAAATATAACCTTATTTTAACTTGTAAAAGATGATTTTCAAGCGTGAATTATCTAATGATCTTTCAATTTTCTGGGGGGAAACTGTCAAATAGGTCCTCAAACTTTCACAAAAAAGTCAAACAAGTCCTTATATAGGAGGTTCTGTCCGGCCGTCGCGATTCGGCGCGGTTTCTGGTGGAATTTTTTGATGGAAATTTTTTAGCATCTTATTCAGCAAGTCTAGTTCACTCATACCAAATTTCAGCTAAAACTTCAATCGGGAACGCATTCAAATTAATTCTTGAAGATGTATTGCGCATTTAACTGTACAGTTATCTTCAAGAATTAATTTGAATGTGTTCCCGATTGAATTTTTAGCTGAAATTTGGTATGAGTGAACTAGACTTGATGAATAAGATGCTCAAAAATATTCATTAAAAAATTCCACCGGGAACCTCCCCAAATCACGACGGCCGGACAGAGCCTCCTATATAAGGACTTATTTGACTTTTTTATGAAAGTTCGAGAACCTATTTGACAGTTCTCCCTTTCCTGGGAGTCTTCTCCAGTTTTCTGTCATATTAGCTCCCGAAGTGAATGATCTTCAATTTCCAAAAATTGTGAGTTGCATGTGAGGGCGGGTGGTAACCGGCAACTAACACTTTTTTCAAGGAAGGAAAATTTTATTGATAATTAAAATGAGAATACATGATGAAAAAAGAGAAAGAAAAAAGGAGAGAAAAAAAAGATACAGATTAAAGGCCAACCCGCATCGTAAATAATGAACCCTCCCTAGAAATGTTTAATTTCGAAACTCATCATAACTCCATTTGAGATCTCGTTCTCGTGGGATGTGATTGTTGATGCTTTTTCCGATATATTTTCATTTGAGTATTTAGGTTCTGTATTGGCAAGCAATTTTCCTTCTTTACAAGGCTAGCCTTGTTGCAAATGTCCTTATTTGTATCGGAATCCCATAAATCTTCAAAATCAGAAATGTGAGTTCTCTTCTCACTCTCTGAAGCATGACGGGGCCGGTCCTGCTCATTTCTGAGCCTATGGGCGAGATATACTATATTGGGCTTATGCACAAGATAAAGGGAAATTATAACAAATAGATTAAAAGGTGAAAATAATATCATTTTTGTCACCTTTCAAAATTTCTTTCAAAATTAGACTGACTGTATTTCTCTTTTCACAAACAGCTAATGTATATAAAAGCCTCCTGCCGGAAGTCCGAAACCTACACTGCCAAGAAGTGCACTGTGCATATGACCAACTCTAGAATCCACCATTTTTTTATACCTAATGGCTAATACAATTGTAAAATGTAAAAAAGATGAAAATAATTGGAACAACTTTCTAGAGGAAAATGCAATCCTCAAAAAAGGAGAAAATAAAAATTGGACATTAACAATTTCAAAGTTGAAAACTTGTAAATTGAATTTAAAAATTTTAAAAATGAATTTAGAATTTAAAAAATAAATTAGGGAAATATAAAAAAGTAAAAAGAAATAAGAAATACAAAAGTCGGTTTTTTTATAAAAAAAGAGTTCATACATGCCGTAATTTTATACTCCGTATATATAATTCGAAATTTTATAAAATCTTTAGTAAAAAGTAAAACGGGGAGGGAAATGTATAAATGTTAAGAAAAAAACCTGGAGATTGAAAAACGTGTAATTTGTTTCTAATATAAAATATTATAAATTATTTTAAAAATATCAAAACAAAAAATTAACGTTAGAAATATAAAAATAAATTTAGGTTTTTTTAAAACAAAAATGTCAAAAATATAAAATTGGAACATGTTAACAATTAAAAATACAAAATAATTAAAAATATGATATTTCTGATTTAATTTTTTGAAAATAGTTAAAAAAAACATTAATTTTTATTAATAGCATCTTGTTGTAGCTTTTTGTTGCACATTTTTTCCGTGTGTTTCTTTTTGTTGCTAATTTTAAGTTTTTTGTTTCTTATTGTTTCTCTATGCTTCTTGTTGTTATTGATATTCATAAATCCAAATGTATCATTTTAGGTGTTCATGTGTAGATGGTTTTTTATTTCAGGGAAGTAGCAAAGATAAATAGGAAATTAAAGGGAAAACTGTCAAATAGGTGCTCGAACTTTCATAAAAATGTCAAATAAGTCCGTATATAGGAGACTCTATCTGGCCGTCGCGATATGGGGCGGTTTCTGGTGAAAATTTTTGATGAAAATTTTTTAGCATCTTATTCCTCAAGTCTAGTTTACTCATACCAAATTTCAGCTAAAACTTTAATCAGGAACGCATTCAAATTAATTCTTGAAGATAATTGTGCAGTTAAATGCGCAGTTATCTTCAAGAATTAATTTGAATGCGTTCCCGATTGAAGTTTTAACTGAAATTTGGTATGAGTAAACTAGACTTGATAAATAAGATGTTAAAAAAATTTCATCAAAAAATTCCACCGGGAACCGCCCCAAATCGTGACGGCTAGACAGAGCCTCCTATATAAGGACTTATTTGACCTTTTTATGAAAGTTCGAGGACCTATTTGACACTTTTCCCGAAATTAAATAAACAACAAAAACAACAATAATCAACATGATACAACAAAAAGAAACACATAGCAACAAAAAACATGTACGCTACAACAAAAAGAAACAAAAAATAACATATAAAAAATACCACGATAAGTATATAATTCAATCTGTTAGTTCAATTTATCACTCCATATTATATTATTTGGCTTTGATGTTTCACAATCTTCTTTCTTTTATGAATTTAATACACACTTCATCATGTTTTTCCCTTTGTCGCCATTTCCTCATTGATCTTCGTAGCCCTATTATCATATTCATGTACTTTAATTATGCGCCTGCATTTAGAATGCCATCAATATCAAACAAATTTAGAATCAATTTTATAAGCAAACAATGTGCCAATAGAGTTGATGCACCAAAATATATCCACAAAGTAACTATGAGACAAGAAATTAAGCAGAAACCTAAGATATGGACATATAATTATTAATCGGGGGGGGGGGGGGGGGGGGGGGGGGTAAAAGGACTGATCCAGCATGACAAAAACTAAGTCCTTCTAATTTGGGCATGATCCAGGACTCAATTCCAAGTCCTCCCAAAGTTCTAAATTGAATATTTGAATCCTGGGGCGGAGCCAGGGCACTGGGCCCGACTGGGCCGGTACAAAGAATACTTTAAGAAAAAAAATACACGAAATTTTTTACCTTAAAAATGAAGTCATATTTAAAATTTGGGGTGGGCCATGGCCTAGCTTGGCCCACCCCTAGCTCCGCCCATGTTTGAAATCCATTATTCCACTAAAAAAATATTAAAGTGTATGTTATTAGACTAATAATATTACATTATATCTAATCAAATTTTAACACTGAAAAGAATTCCATATCATGGAGTGGTATATAACCAAAAAGAAGTCACTAGAACAACATTGAATATATGTGATGGGGTGGAGGCCTTGTGCATTTAATTAACATAATTGATATCCTTTTTTAAACAACAGATGTTTTAATTTTTGAGTTTTCAAAAAAGTTGATGTACCAAACCTCCTAGTCTCTTAGTTATTGGAAGCATTTTGGCTCCTTACAAGAGGCATTAAAGATTCAAAGGACTGTTTGTCTATATTAAACAACCAAATGTGTTCTCCGATCCTATGCAGAAAAAGACCAAAGATGATTTGGTTTTTGGTCTGTACATGCATTTACCTGTCAATTCATTCAATCTTATCTTTGACTTCAAGGTAAAGTTTTAACGTCCATTCGCATGCAACAGTTTGCTGAAGGAATTTGGGTTGGTGTTCATAAGCCTCTTCAACATGTACTCGTCCTAAATGAATGTAGTGTTGGCCCCCTTGAACACCAATATATATCCAAGTCACAACAACAAGAAGAAAATTAACAAATGTAGTATCATCATACATTAGTAATTTATAAGTTAACCAGCTAGTTCTACTCTATTAATTGAAAAGTGCACATAGGAAGATGCAAACCACAATCCACAATCTCTGATCATATATTTCATTACTTAGAAACATAGAAATAAGAGAATGGAAGGAACACACGTACTAATATGTCCTTACCATGTCATAGCTAGGTACCAAATTTGTGTTTTCGTGTGTTTACAACTCTTTTCATTTCAAAACATGATTGACATTAAGACATAAAATAACCAAATTAAAATCAAGTAGAGAACATGAGTTGAAACGAGAAAACATGAGTCAAAAAGAGAATCTAAACAATAACTAAAGCTTATATAGAAAAAAATCCATGTCATCTCAATTCAAAATCATATCAGAAAGAAAAATGTAAAAATTGAGATGTGATAGTAATAGCACTGTTCTAAAAATCGGCCTAGTCGGCCAAAAAATCAATTTAGTCGGTCAAAAAATCAGCCTAGTCGGCCGACTAGGCGCTAGGTGCCCTGTGACACCGCTCCCGAACGTCCTTGAAAATTTGATTTAAAATTCAAAGTTTATGTATTGGATTTCTGATTCCCAAACATTTTGTAAAACGATTAATGTTTTACGTAATTAATGATCGATTAGTGTACTGTTCGAACTCGTATATTAGTGTCGGGCATGCAAATACTATTTGGGTCTTATTAATAAATAAAAGAGCCCAACATTATCCAAATAGTGATACATAATCTTTCAAGACAATCCGAGTAAGGTCGGACGGCCCAAACGTTATTTTGAGCCCAACCTGCTAAAATAGCAAGTATTCGAGAATGGCGTTCTAGACCCACTCGGGAGTGACCCACACGGTTAGTAGCCCATTAATATGTATGACAAATGTCAAATAAGTGATAGAATGATTAAAGAAGAATACAAATGCCTATAGTCCCATCTTTAACATTATTGAGCTAAATAATGGGAGTAAGATTTTTTTTCTATAATATCCATTAAGTAAATTATTGTGATAAACCTACACATATTGGAAATCAATAATGTGATGAAGGAAGTTGACTTGTTCTAAATGAATTAGGATGAGTACAAAAAGACATCTTTGACAAAAGATAAAACAATAGGACCCATCTTCCCATTTTTGGAAGTATTGGTAGATAATTTGGATCCCAAAATGATTGGCATCAATTGGGAACCATTCCACATGGACTTAGTACCTGCAAAACAAGTGAAAAGAGGTGAGAAGACCATATGGGGCGGACTCTTGGCTCACATGCACAAAAACTCCAAGAGAAAACAAAAGGGGGAGGTCCACCCCATACTTGATTGCAAACCAAATGTCTCCCATGTTCTTTTGTGAGCCACATACTCTTTTAGCATGTTTAGGGGCTCCTAATACACTCCCCATACACCCCATTCGAACCCCCAAAGAGATAAGAGAGCAAGGGAATCCACACAACCCAAGAGAGAAGGAAGGAGGAGAGCAGTCCGCAGGTTCGTTCTTCAGTGCGTAGCTCTGATTGTTTGAGCCATAACTTGAGATTTACTCATCCAAATAAGGCGTGCGAGATACCAACAGAAAGCTCTCAAGACGAGGAATCCGTGAAGGTCTGGTTTGCATCAATCGGAGTAGTGGAAGGCTTCCAAATCGACCGAGCAAAACACGACCTCGCAGAATACGTTTTTGTATTCAAAGTAAGTTTGAATCCAAAACCTTCCTCTCTATTGTCTAAACCATATAAATGATTGAAGAACTATTATACACTGATTGAGGTGTATAAAATGTTATTATAAAGTGACTTTAATTGTTGGAAAAGTTAGATGCTAATCTAGACAAAACCTTGAAGGGTTAGGAAACGATTTCGTCGGGAAACACCCGTTCTAGGGACTGTTTTTGTGTCCTCGGTTAGGAGTTGAACTAGCACTTTGAAGGGGCTGTTTAACACTCAAATCCAAGCAAGGAATCAGTTCTCAATCTTCCTTGGCCAAAGCTTTGACCATTGGATCAAGAAAGAAAGGTTTAAAGCTCATTTGAGGTGAGGACCGACATCTAGTTGCTTACAACTTGTAGGTTATGCATGAGATTACCTAAATGCTTAAATCATGTTTTTGTGAATAAATATGCTTGAACATGATATGAATGATAAGTAATGGACTTGATCATGAATTGAAATCATATTGATGAATATGGAGTTATGTGAGATAAAGGTATGTTAATATTGTAAAATGACCTTTCCAACTCATATATGAATGTTATGTGTATGTAAATGTATAGTTGCATGATGATGCTTAGCAAATGGGAGGCTGCCACATATCTATTGATATGGAGGGGCTACCATTAAGAATAAATGAGTTGTAGGAATAATCTTAATAGTATTGTGATGCTAGTTAAGGATTGTTCTAAATGTTGATAGAATCAAACTTAAGGTTTGAGTTGTTTGTGATGAACTTGAATGGGATTCAAGTGTCAAGTGTGATATCATGGAGTAGGAGATCTATGGTGTGATTGTATGAAGTAGGAGTTCTATGGTGTGGTTGTATGAAGTAGGAGATCTACGGGGTGAATACATGAAGTAGGAGATCTATGGTATAATTATATGAAGTAGGAGATCTATGATGCGAGTGCATGATGATGTACTCGAGCCGAACTCTAGAAATGAGAAGTTGTATTAGGGTTGGACCCTACGTATGACTCTAGAAATGACGTGACCTTTAGTCACGGGGTTTTGGAAAATGTTTTGTAATAAACATGAACCTTTGAGCCGACTACTTGACTTTATATAAAGTAAGTATATATTTTTTGAAGGGGTAATTTGGGATTACAGCCTAAACTATATTATCACCCTATTTGAGGGTCTTGTGTGTGAAATACTTGTTGTATATCTATTAGATGCCTGCCACACCAGCACTTTATAGCCCTATAGAGTGCTGACCCCTTCGGGGGCGTCCCACCACCATTTTTCAGGTTGAGGCTAGAGCTTGCTTCCTGTGCTCGTTGCTCGAGAGATCATATAGGAGGGAAGACTTGGTTCGTGCTTCCTCCATTCTGTTTTTAAAGATTAATAAACATGCTCATGGATATTTTACTATAGAGCCTGCGTGCTCATGAATAGCCCTGTGTGGCCCCTTTTTGTTTTAAACAATGTTCTCCGCTGCGTTGTGAATTACTTATTATGTTTGTTTATGGATGTATATGTGTGAATGATATTCAAGACGCCTTGTATAATATGAATGAGTTGGACTGCGGTTGACTATTCGTATTGTACGGCGGGTTGTTGACGTGTCCGGATAGGTCCGGGGCGTGACAATTAAGTTGGTATCAGAGCCTTAGTCCATAAACTTCATAATGAAGTCTCAAAATCCTCTTTTTGAAAAGATTTTGAAAACCATGAGCATAGAAGTTTTGTACTTGGAGAGCTTTTGGTACTTGGGTTGCAAGGTCTCTAATAGTTAAGATGGTACCCTTAGCAATTGGTATGGCGGTGACTCGAGCCAAAATGTGTCTTAAGTACCTATCCGTCAATTGACATTTGATACGAGTCTAACGACTCTTTCCAAATTTCTTTCAGAAATGGACCGTGGTGGCAGGATTACTAGGAGAAACCCGACGGGCCGTGTACCAGTGGAGACTGGACAGGGCAGTCGAAGGACCTCTAGGGCATCTAGAGGAGCTGGCCGTGGAGGCCGATCACAGACCGTGAGTGACGGTCATGTCGACACAGAAAGTGAAACCTACTGGTCCTATGAGGACTCGACTTACCAACCGGAAACCGAGCCGGTTGAGACCCCTTACGAAGGGGATGACGATGATGTGAGTGATGAAGAAGGGGAGAACGACTCCCTAGCAAGAATTGAGGCGCTGCTCCAGCAATATCAGCGGGAGCGCGAGGAAAGGAGGGAACGCCGAAGGCGCCGAGGAGGGCGAACTTCGGGTGGGGCTTCAAGAGGAAGAAGCCATGGCGACTCTAGGGCCCACATTGAACCACATGGGGGCCGGGGTGATGAAGGTCCGATCATAAGGATCTCCAAATACCTCAAGGAGGCACGAGACTTGGGGTGCAAACCCTTCAACGGAGCGGGCGACATCTCGGTCGCCGCGGAATGGATCAAGAGGTTGAACGAAGCAGCCCTTGATATGCAACTCACCCCCGAATTTAAACTAAGGGTGGCGGTGAGATTGCTTGAAGGGATGGCATCCACATGGTGGGACGGAGCCAAGGGAAAGTATGGCAATACCGTGACTTGGGAGAATTTCCGACAGGAGTTCTTTGCCCAATACTATTCTGATTTTGAGGTGAACAATAAGAGGAGAGAGTATACCCTCCTAACCCAAGGTGGCAAGATGACGGTGAGGCAACTTGAACACAAATTCAGGGAACTCGCGGAGTTCATACCGGAGTATGTCTGTGATGAGAACCGGATGGTAAATCACTTCTGGGATGCCTTAGACTTGGAGGTGCGTGAGAGGGCAACGCAGTTGCCTAACATGACCTTTAGCCAGGTGGTCGAGCAGGGATTGAAAGGGGAGAAGGAATGGGAAGAAAGAAAGATGAAGAACGCCGAAGAGGCGAAGAAGAGAAAATGGGAGAGTCACGGCTCCCAAGGTTCCAACAAAAAGGGGAACCATGGAGGGGGATCTTTCCGTGCACTGCCGCCACCATCTAGGGGGAACCAGGGCTCGAGTAGGCATGACTCGGGGTCACAAGCCTCGGGGACGCCTCGTTGCTTGAATTGCAAGAAGAGTCACCTCGGAAAATGCTGTGAACCTCCTAGATGCTTTCAATGCGGGAACACCGGGCATTTGAAGGCACATTGCCCACAATTGGGTGGGCCAAGGTCATCGGGACCAAGTAGCGGGGCTACGGGAACAAGAAACCAAGCCGGGGGTTCCCAAGTAACCAGGGGGCAAGGGGGAGCAAGCGCGAGCAACGCGCCGTCCGTGAACCAAGGAAGGACCCAGGCTAGGGTCTACGCGATGACGGAGGCGGATGCTCAAGCTAACACGGATTCCGTTGCAGGTATTACCTCTCGTATACTTGTGTTTTATCCTTAATTAGCCCATAAGTTAAGGTTACTAATCGTTAGGATCTTTGCACAAGGTTTTGGGGTCGAACCGGGTTATTCCGAGCTACTTCAGGCGGCTGGAACCCAGGCACGATCGTTCCTAAGGCAGACACGATCGTGCCTCCAAGTCAGTAGCTGCCCAGGAATTTCCCCAGCCCAGGCACGATCGTGCCTAAAGCAGACACGACCGTGCCTACAAGGCAGTAGCTGCCCAGGTAATTTCCCAACCCAGGCACGATCGTGCCTAAGGCAGACACGATCGTACCTCCAAGGCAGTGGCACCCTGGGCGTTTTCCCAAGCCAGGCACGATCGTGCCTACCCCAGGCACGCCGTGCCTGGCACCCAGATTGCCGAAACCCGATTTTTCGCACCGTTTTGCGACGTTAAGACCTCTTCTTGATCCCTAACGTGTGTGTGAACATTGCAACCTTCTATAAATGAGTAGGGAGGGTAGGAAAGATGTCTTACATGGTTCATGAATGTAGGGACACTAAAGATTAATGGGAAGGATGCGCGAATCCTTATCGATACCGGGGCGCAACGTTCATTTGTGAATGAAGCGTTCGCCAAGAGGTTGGAAGTGCAATCTGCACCATTGATGCAAACCTTAGTGGTATCAACACCACTAGGGGAAGACGTTGAAAGAAACAATTACTATCCATCTTGTGGGGTGGAGGTTAATGGTCAAACCTTGGTGTGTGACTTCGTACCGCTGAGCATGATTGAATTCGATGCAATCCTAGGGATGGATTGGCTAGAAAGGAACCATGCCAGGGTAGATTGCTACACGAAGGTTCTTGAACTCGAAGGCAATGATGGGGAGACCCTACGCTTCGAGGGCGATCGAGGGAGATCAAATAGCTGTATCATATCCGCCGTGAGAGCGAGAAGTATGATGAGAAAGGGATGCCACGCATATCTAGCATACGTGGTCGACAAAACCAAAGAGGAAACGAACATCGATGATGTGAGGGCGGTTTGTAAGTATCCGGATGTCTTCCCTAAAGACCTACTGGGGCTTCCACCTGACAGAGAGATTGAATTTGTGATCGAGGTCGAGCCTGGTACTAAACCAATCTCCATACCGCCATACCGTATGGCACCCGCTGAACTTAACGAGTTGAAAACCCAATTGCAAGAGCTTTTGGATAATGGTTTCATTAGACCAAGCCACTTCCCGTGGGGAGCACCAGTTCTTTTTGTGAAAAAGAAAGAAGGGACACTTCGAATGTGTATTGATTATCGTCAACTGAACAAGGTCACAATCAAGAATAGGTATCCTTTGCCTGGAATTGATGACTTGTTTGATCAACTACGAGGGGCAACCGTGTTTTCAAAGGTTGATTTGAGGTTAGGTTACCATCAATTGAAGATTAAGGAAGATGACATACCAAAGAGTGCTTTCCGCACAAGGTATGGGCATTTTGAGTTCCTTGTCATGTCGTTTGGGTTAACAAACGCCCCAGCGGCATTCATGGACTTGATGAACCGAATATTCCATAAATACTTGGATCGATTCGTGATTGTGTTCATAGATGACATTTTGATTTACTCAAAGAGTGAGGAAGAACATGAAGAGCACTTGATACTCGTTCTTGAGACACTACGGGAGAAGCAACTTTATGCCAAATTTTCTAAATGTGAATTTTGGCTAAAGGAAATTGGCTTTCTCGGGCATGTGGTTTCGGGATCGGGAATTGCTGTTGATAATAAGAAGATAGAGGCCGTTACCGAATGGGAGAGACCAAAGAATGTCAAGGAAATTCGTAGTTTCCTTGGATTGGCAGGTTATTACAGAAAGTTCGTGGAAAAGTTCTCTATTTTGGCGTCGCCGTTGACGAAGCTCACTCGAAAGGGAGCTAAGTTTATATGGGATGACAAATGTGAGGAAGGATTCATGGAACTAAAGAAGCGATTGACCGAGGCACCGGTACTTGCATTACCCAAACAGGGTGTGGGGTACGATGTCTATAGCGATGCGAGCATCCAAGGGCTTGGATGCGTACTGATGCAGAATGGGAGGGTAATCGCCTATGCTTCACGACAGTTGAAGAAGCATGAGGTGAATTATCCTACTCATGACTTGGAGCTGGGGGCTGTGGTGTTTGCACTGAAGATATGGAGACACTATCTCTACGGGGAGACGTGTCACATATACACTGATCACAAGAGCTTGAAATACGTGTTTACTCAGAAAGAGCTAAACATGAGACAGAGACGGTGGATGGAGTTGATAAAAGACTACCATCTAGTGATAGAGTATCACCCAGGCAAGGCAAACGTGGTGGCAGATGCTTTGAGCCGAAAGAGCTCGTCTGGGGCATTGCTAGCTAATTTGAGGGCATTAAGAGCCCAACTGGAGGTATCCAGCGATGGTGCCTTATTGGCACGATTTGAGGTGAGACCTACTTTACTTGATGAGATCAAGAAGGGTCAAGAGATTGACGCAGAACTTATGAAGGTCCGCGAACGCATGCAAGCGGGACCGGTGGAGGATTTCAGGGAAAGAGATGATGGTCTCTTGTTATTTCGTGACCGAGTGTGTGTGCCGTCAGATGATGAGCTCCGAAAGTCCATCTTAGAGGAGGCTCATTCATCGGCTTATGCCATGCACCCGGGGGGCACGAAAATGTACCGTGATTTGAAAGAAAGTTACTGGTGGTCTGGAATGAAGAGGGAAATAGCCGAGTACATCAGCCGATGCCTTACTTGTCAACAAGTTAAGGCAGAACATCAGCATCCAGCAGGCTTGTTACAACCACTTTCCATTCCTGAGTGGAAGTGGGAACATGTGACTATGGATTTCGTGGTAGGTTTACCACGGACAATTCGGAACTACGATGCGGTTTGGGTTGTTGTGGATAGGCTCACAAAGAGTGCACACTTCTTGCCTATCAACACTACCTACCCACTTGAGAGGTTAGCCAAATTGTATACGGATGAGATCGTGAGGCTGCATGGGGTCCCAGTGACCATTGTATCTGATAGAGACCCACGATTCACATCACGTTTTTGGCCGAAATTTCAAGAGTCTATGGGAACGAGGTTGAAGTTCAGTACTGCATTCCATCCACAGACGGATGGGCAGTCTGAGACGGTTATACAGATCTTAGAGGATATGCTGAGGGCTTGTGCGTTAGAGTTCCAAGGAAGTTGGGACAACCACTTAGCACTCGTGGAGTTCGCCTATAACAACAGTTATCAGGCAAGTATCGGCATGCCTCCATACGAAGCATTGTATGGGAGGAGGTGTCGTACACCGTTATGCTGGGACGAGGTTGGCATGGCCAAACTCGAGGGTACTGAGTTGGTTGAGATCACCAAGTCAAAGGTGAAGTTGATTTGAGAGAGACTCAAAGCGGCTCAGGATAGGCAAAAGAGTTATGCAGATAAGCGTCGAAGAACCTTAGAGTTTAAGGTTGATGACGAGGTATTCCTGAAAGTTTCTCCTTGGAAAGGAATCATTCGATTCCAAACCCGAGGAAAGCTTAACCCACGATATATAGGCCCATTCAGAATTATAGAGAGGGTTGGGGCCGTAGCATATCGTCTACAGTTGACTCCTGAGTTGGAGAAGATTCACAATGTATTTCACGTGTCCATGCTTAAGAAGTATGTGCATGATCCTTCTCATGTGTTGGAGAAGCCGCCCGTGGAGGTACGTGAAGACTTGAACTATGCCGTGCAACCGGTAAGAGTTATTGACAGAAAAGTGAAGAAACTGAGGAGTAAAGAAGTTCCAATGGTTAAAGTCCTTTGGAAGAGTGACCGGGTCGAAGAAGAGACTTGGGAAACAGAAGCTTTGATGAGGAAGCAGTATGCATTCCTATTCGAGTAGAGCTGTGAATTTCGGGGACGAAATTCCTGTTAAGGGGGGGTGAACTTGTGACACCGCTCCCGAACGTCCTTGAAAATTTGATTTAAAATTCAAAGTTTATGTATTGGATTTCTGATTCCCAAACATTTTGTAAAACGATTAATGTTTTACGTAATTAATGATCGATTAGTGTACTGTTCGAACTCGTATATTAGTGTCGGGCATGCAAATACTATTTGGGTCTTATTAATAAATAAAAGAGCCCAACATTATCCAAATAGTGATACATAATCTTTCAAGACAATCCGAGTAAGGTCGGACGGCCCAAACGTTATTTTGAGCCCAATCTGCTAAAATAGCAAGTATTCGAGAATGGCGTTCTAGACCCACTCGGGAGTGACCCACACGGTTAGTAGCCCATTAATATGTATGACAAATGTCAAATAAGTGATAGAATGATTAAAGAAGAATACAAATGCCTATAGTCCCATCTTTAACATTATTGAGCTAAATAATGGGAGTAGGATTTTTCTTCTATAATATCCATTAAGTAAATTATTGTGATAAACCTACACATATTGGAAATCAATAATGTGATGAAGGAAGTTGACTTGTTCTAAATGAATTAGGATGAGTACAAAAAGACATCTTTGACAAAAGATAAAACAATAGGACCCATCTTCCCATTTTTGGAAGTATTGGTAGATAATTTGGATCCCAAAATGATTGGGATCAATTGGGAACCATTCCACATGGACTTAGTACCTGCAAAACAAGTGAAAAGAGGTGAGAAGACCATATGGGGCGGACTCTTGGCTCACATGCACAAAAACTCCAAGAGAAAACAAAAGGGGGAGGTCCACCCCATACTTGATTGCAAACCAAATGTCTCCCATGTTCTTTTGTGAGCCACATACTCTTTTAGCATGTTTAGGGGCTCCTAATACACTCCCCATACACCCCATTCGAACCCCCAAAGAGATAAGAGAGCAAGGGAATCCACACAACCCAAGAGAGAAGGAAGGAGGAGAGCAGTCCGCAGGTTCGTTCTTCAGTGCGTAGCTCTGATTGTTTGAGCCATAACTTGAGATTTACTCATCCAAATAAGGCGTGCGAGATACCAACAGAAAGCTCTCAAGACGAGGAATCCGTGAAGGTCTGGTTTGCATCAATCGGAGTAGTGGAAGGCTTCCAAATCGACCGAGCAAAACACGACCTCGCAGAATACGTTTTTGTATTCAAAGTAAGTTTGAATCCAAAACCTTCATCTCTATTGTCTAAACCATATAAATGATTGAAGAAATATTATACACTGATTGAGGTGTATAAAATGTTATTATAAAGTGACTTTAATTGTTGGAAAAGTTAGATGCTAATCTAGACAAAACCTTGAAGGGTTAGGGAACGATTTCGTCGGGAAACACCCGTTCTAGGGACTGTTTTTGTGTCCTCGGTTAGGAGTTGAACTAGCACTTTGAAGGGGCTGTTTAACACTCAATTCCAAGCAAGGAATCAGTTCTCAATCTTCCTTGGCCAAAGCTTTGACCATTGGATCAAGAAAGAAAGGTTTAAAGCTCATTTGAGGTGAGGACCGACATCTAGTTGCTTACAACTTGTAGGTTATGCATGAGATTACCTAAATGCTTAAATCATGTTTTTGTGAATAAATATGCTTGAACATGATATGAATGATAAGTAATGGACTTGATCATGAATTGAAACCATATTGATGAATATGGAGTTATGTGAGATAAAGGTATGTTAATATTGTAAAATGACCTTTCCAACTCATATATGAATGTTATGTGTATGTAAATGTATAGTTGCATGATGATGCTTAGCACATGGGAGGCTGCCACATATCTATTGATATGGAGGGGCTACCATTAAGAATAAATGAGTTGTAGGAATAATCTTAATAGTATTGTGATGCTAGTTAAGGATTGTTCTAAATGTTGATAGAATCAAACTTAAGGTTTGAGTTGTTTGTGATGAACTTGAATGAGATTCAAGTGTCAAGTGTGATATCATGGAGTAGGAGATCTATGGTGTGATTGTATGAAGTAGGAGTTCTATGGTGTGGTTGTATGAAGTAGGAGATCTACGGGGTGAATACATGAAGTAGGAGATCTATGGTATAATTATATGAAGTAGGAGATCTATGATGCGAGTGCATGATGATGTACTCGAGCCGAACTCTAGAAATGAGAAGTTGTATTAGGGTTGGACCCTACGTATGACTCTAGAAATGACGTGACCTTTAGTCACGGGGTTTTGGAAAATGTTTTGTAATAAACATGAACCTTTGAGCCGACTACTTGACTTTATATAAAGTAAGTATATATTTTTTGAAGGGGTAATTTGGGATTACAGCCTAAACTATATTATCACCCTATTTGAGGGTCTTGTGTGTGAAATACTTGTTGTATATCTATTAGATGCCTGCCACACCAGCACTTTATAGCCCTATAGAGTGCTGACCCCTTCGGGGGCGTCCCACCACCATTTTTCAGGTTG